ACACAAAGAAAGTGACTGGCAAATTGCCTATATAGGGAGAATTGTCTTTGAAATTTCCTGCTTCATGGAAAAGTCTTCTGGATACTATGGGCCTGTAGGCTGAAGATGGATGCCCCAATGTTACAAGGCATTGATGTCTTGGCAGCAAGATGTCTTTGTCAATTCTAGAGTTTTGGAAGTTGCTTACAATGCATTTCCTGTTAACTTAGGTAGTATTGCATCCTTCTAGAGTCTTTGATGGAGTTGAAGAATGGATAGTAATAGTTATAGTTTTCTTTAACTATGATAAAAATAAATTAGATATAAAACTTAAGACTCACAAAGAAAGGATAGATGATAGAGTATTTTCCTTAATTGTGAAATTTAAATGGACTAAATAATGTAACTAAAATTGTTGCTTGATAACTGCTGTTTTGTTATATGTAATTTTCCTGTTATAGTTAAAACCTTCCTTTTTATCTAGACAGAAAAGGGGAGGTGATATGGGATGTCGTTCTTTCTGTATGCTGTATGTAAATTTCTGAGAGCATAAAAAATGCATCAGCTCTTGTTTCCTTTCCTTTCTTTTTTCCAGTGTTCCAATTGTAACAAAACCAGAAAAGCCTAGAAGGATCTAGACTTGAAGATATTGGTTGAACTGGAAAGACTGAAATTCATCAGCTTCCAGTCTGTCCTGGCAATGTCACACAGGCAGAAAGAATTCTTGGGAGGAACAATATTTATTGTCATGCTGTCTTCTGCCAAGACCCCAGGCAAAATTCCAAAGGACACAGCATGTCTTTGCCAGGATCTCTTCCTTGCTAATGCTCTGTGCCCTCCATGCAGAGAAGCTTTCGTAGAAACATCCTTTCTCCAAATTTCTTCATCTTGGGCTACCTCCTCTGAGTATCCCTCACAACATTATTACTGTGGAGTTAATTTAATTTATACTAATGTGTGAATGACTGCTAACATTCCTATAACATTACTAATTAAAACTATTCCATTTTAAATAGCTTCCACTGGTAGAGAAACAAGGAAACATTTTCCAGGGAAGAACTCCGGAAGCCTGTCCAGAAGATGGCTAAGCAGAATAAGAGCTCACTGAGCCAACCTGACCTAAACTCAAACCCAAAGAAAGACTGAAAAGGAGAATCAACTCCACAAAGATGTCTTTTGATCTGCACGTGGGTGCCATAGTTCATACAACACCACAACACCCCCTCGTACACACACATCATACACAGAGTGATCATAATGAAAAATAAATTAAATTTTAAAGGACTCTATAAATTCACTCCATTAATGTCCTACCTGGCCACGGTATGATTTCTTGGACAGTTTCTCTACCTTGAAATATCATGGCTTCTAGTGAGTTCTAGTAGTTTCTAGAATTCTGCTTCCTCCAACTTCTCTGCTAATGTGTCCCCATGCTCCCAGTTCCTTGTAAAAGAGTTGGATGCACCTGTTCATGGTATCCTTTGCTTCCCACCAAGGCATTGCCACACATAGAATCACCATTGTGGATTCTATCTATTTATTGCCTGCTAGGCTTCACAATATCTGAGGGCAGGATGCTTGCCTGCGTCCTGCCAACCACAATAAGCTATAGCCTAAAGAAGGTATGCGTTGGGGAAACTCAGTCACAATAAAAGTTATACACAAAAAAGTATATGAAAATTATATGCAGTTGTGTTTGTATATATGTGCATATAAGTACATCTCATCACAGAGGTAGAAATAAATCACAGCGATTTCTTTCCAAAAACAAACAAACAAAAACAAAACAAAAGAAGCAGCCATGGGGTCCTCATTGCTCTTGACTTGAAGCTTTGTCTTCCCAAGCTCTTGGCTTTCCAAAAAACCCTAGGGAAGTTTTTTGTTTGTTTGCTTGAGTTTTATTATTTTTTTTTTAAGTTCACTGATCAGGAAACCCGGGCTGTTTTACTGATGCAAATTCTACAATCCCTTTAGGTCATTCTTGAAAAAAAATTACTCAATTCAGACTTCTTTGCAAGAGGTTTGTCATCCCTACCATGACCATTCTTGGCATGACCACCACCATGCCACACAGGATTCTCATTGCAGTCCAAAGTCCAGAAGATGGACCATGCTAATGGCTACCAGGTAGAGTAAGCCTGTTCTACCAAGTCGAGTTCCGAAACAATATAATGAACAGTGCACATTCTGATCATCACCATGACAAAGCCAAGGAAATCATGAAAATTAGAAGTACAATGTGATCCCATTTTAAAGAAAAGGTCCCAGCACTGTTCGGGGGAGAAAGAACTGCATCAGAAAACAAATTCCCACACAACTGAAAATGTAGGACTTAAGACACCATCATATAGAAACAGCAAAGTCCAAACGTGCAATATGATTTGCTACTTCATATTCGTATGTTGAGCTTAATATGTATCAATATGCTTTAATTCCCATGTCTATATGTGTTTTTCTTTCTCACAAAAAAGTTTTCCAGCTCCATTCTTTTGATCCCCAGAAGGAGCTTTTTGAGGGAGGTAATGAGAACATTTCTGCCCTCATTTGATTTCTCTCATCAGTTAAAGAAGGAAAACTAAGTACATATAGAAAGCAAAAGTGGCCAGGTGGTGGTGGTGCAAGCCTCTAATCCCAGCACTCAAGCAGAGCCAGGTTGATCTCTGTAAATTGGAGGCCAGGCTGGTCTATAGAGCTAGTTCCAGGATAGTCAGGGCTACACAGAGAAAGCTTGTCTTGAAAAACAAAACAAAAACAAAAACTAGAAAGTGAGAGTGGACAAGTTTTATCATTAAGCATTACTGTTGTGAGAGATAAAGGTAGAAGTAAACTTGGAAGGGATGCACCATGGTGATGGTACACGTGTAAAATCCCAGCACTTTGGGAGGCTGGGAAGTGATGTGCAAAGGTGCACGCCTAAAATCCTAGACAGGGTTTCTCTATTTAGTCATGGTTGTCCTGAAACTCACTCTGTAGACCAGACTGGTCTCAAACTCAGAACTCAGAGATCCATCTGCCTCTGCCTTCCAACTGTTAGGATTAAAGGCATGTGCCACCACTGCCCGGCCAGCAAGCTGAATTCTTTTTCTACAAATCTGACTCACAACAAAATGTACTGTCATTAGGTGTGATGGTCACTCCTGTGATCCCAGCACTCAAGAGACAGAGGCAGGAGGGGGATGGAGTTCAAGACCAACCTCAGTTATACAATGAGTTCCTAAGCTACAAGAGTTCCTGCCAAAAGGAAGGGAAACACATTGCATGTTACTTAATGCTATAAGCAGGACTCATAGCTCCAAGAGTTTGCTGAAACATTGCATCTGTCCTTTAAATGCTTTCCAGCTTGTAAATACGATGTTTAGGCTTGTTATGCTATGCTTTATGATAGTGGAACCGAAAAGCAGTACTTTATGCCATCCACTCCTCTCGGCCACATCTCGCTGTCCTGAAGACCAAACCAGCCCTATTTTGCCTCTTGTGCAACCTCACTTTACCTCCTGGGATATTAGGAACAATCGTCGAGCTGGGCTCCTGCTCCTTTAATCCTGGAGTAAGAGTGTGTTCCTTCTCTTACTCTTAGTGTGTTCCGTGATCCTTCTCGCCACACTTGGCATCCCATAAGGCTAGCCACCAATGCAGCACGTGCTTGTTCCTCTCCATTTCTGATCCCCATCTATGGGACTGGCAGAGCCGGCGGCTGAGCCACGTGTTTGAGACAAGCCTTCCTTGCCTATTCTTACAAAAGCAATGTATGCTATCGGGCAGGTGAACTCAGCTGCCCCCCCCCACCTGCAAGATAACAGGTGGATGATAATAAACCTTCATTTCCTTTTACTGTATCTACTTTCGCAAGCACTGACCCTTGAACTTGCTTCCTTCAGGCATTATCACCTTCCCTTGAGGCTACAGAGCACCTCTGGGGCTGGGGCCACCCACAGGTATTTTCCCTTGTGGTGCTGCGGTAGCAATCCTGGCCAGCTGCCTGTTCTTGCCAGGGCTCTTTAACGGGGCTTCTCCAGGCCCTTGCTTCCAGACTGAGATGTTCATTTTCCTATGAGTAACCCAACATCTCTGCCACCAAACAGACATACTTAACTAAGCCAAAGCACTTGGAATCAGACAGCATTCTGCTGTGAAAATGCACTTTCTGGTACTTGTTCAAACCCACTCCTTCCTGTTATTGGGTCTCACAGGGCACCTGTGAGAACTTGTAGGCTGGTCTCACGTGTGAGAATTTCTTTCCGGGCGCTGAAATACAGCTTTCTTCTGTCCTTTCCCAAACAGGTCCATTCGGACTTTCTAGAAGGATCTACCTTTCTTTCTTTTGGATCAATAACTCAAACTAGTCATACCTCAGATCCCAAAAGCATACTCTGAGGTCCAATGACCCGATTTGTTCAGCACCCCATTGTCCCGGAATTCTTAAGCTTAAGAAACCTGTCTCATGTGAATAGGCTCCTGTTTTGTGTTTGCCACCCATCCCCTCTCTCCTCCTGCCCAGGTTCATTGTTAAAGGCACACTTCTCAGTAGCAGGGAACCAACAGAGATGAACAGGACCTGAATTTCCCTTCTCCCTTGGGAATAGTCACTTGCTCCTCTTGAAGTTCCTCAAAACTCAGAAAAAGTAAAGAAAAAGAAAACAGAAGGTTGAAAAGAAGGCAGATGTAGCCCAACCTTTTGGTATTCTTCAAATCCAAACACTACTAGAGGCGTTCAGATTTTCCTGGGGTCCCCAAAAGCAAGTACCCCCATTGCCCCGAACCTGACCATCAAGCCCATATACCATAGGGTGCCATATGTCAAGTTCAGAATTGTCTAGTTACAGACACTCACTGAGTGGCTATTAGTGACGCCAGGACAGAAAGAATACACAGATAAGGTAGAAAACAGAAGAGAGTCCCAGACACCCCAAATACCCTGGCTTCTCAACTGTCACCAAGACAACTGCCTTGTTGCTGCAGAAGCGCCAGGCCTGATCCCCACTTGCCGCGTCCCCAAGGCCGCCCAGTGGGCGCCTCCTTACCTTGCGCGAGTATGGGGGCTTGCTCAGGTGGATACCATCGCGGACCAGTTTATCCCGGATCATGATCTTCAGCTTCAGCTTGGGGTAACTCACCAGCTCCCTGCTGCGGGGAGCGCTCGTCTGGCCACGGGGGTCCCCGCGAGTGCCCTGGGCTAAGCCTCCACATGACTCCCCCCGGCGGCCTGGTGGCACCGCGTCCACCTGCGTTGCTGGCGGCACCGGCTGAGGTTCGAGCGTGAAGTAGAGGCCGGCGGCGGCCGCGTCCTGCTCCCGTAGCCTGCGCACAGCCTCCAGGATGCGCCGGCGGTGCGCTGGAGCCAGTACCCCGATGGCGTCCAGGTCCGGGTCTCCGATCTGCTTGCACACTTCCAGGTCATCGTAGCCATTATCCACGAAGGACTCCGCGTACTGTGGGAGCTGTAACGCTTTCAGCCACTCGTAAACTATGTTGGTGCACATGGCTGAGACTGGGAACTCACCGGCGAGTACCCAAGTGACACTGGTGGTACCAGTTCTTGGAACTTCTCCTGGAAGTTCCTCTCCTGGAAGGGGGTGGGGAGAAGAAACGGCTGGAAAAGTTTCTCGGTTAGTGGATAGGCTCCGGCCGCAGAGCAAATGCCATGGGAAGCAGCCTGGGAGAGGGCGAGCGTGAGCGAGGAGAGTCTAGCAGCGAAGTGGATTCCCCG